CCTCCACTGCCTCTTGTAAAGCAGTTTTTCTCACCCCATGTGTTGCGATGCAAAAGTGGGTCTCAAGACTATAAGAAAGGGTCATGAACAAACTTTAAAAATAGATTCTCTTTTAAAGGAGAAAAAACACAGGAAGCCGTGGCTTTTCACTGTGTGGGAATACTTGGGGCCCCCCATACCTCTCCCGCCCACCAGCCCACACACTCAAGGCAGCAGGTCAGAAATGAGGGGCACTAGGTGAGGACTGGCCATCGATGTTTAGATATCGATCCTGGTACAAAAAAGGCTGAGAAGCACTGCTATAGAAGACAGTCTTCTACAGCTGTTCACCACCAACTACTTCTCTGCCTCTACTTCTGGCTTTCTACCCTATCACTAAATCTACACTCCGTTCTAGGTCCTGCCTTCTTTTACCAACCAAATAACCTATGTTTCTAGGTCTTTGTTTTTACTACCTCCCCATCTCTCCATAACACTGTTCCTTCACCATAAACCCTCCTGCTGTCTCTGTCTCCTTGAACTCCCCTGCCTTTTTGTTCCACTTTTTTGTTGTTTTGGTCTGTATTTGTACAGAGCCTAGCACAGTAGGATCGGGGCTTCTGGATGCTATAACAACAACCATGGCTTTCTAATTTCTAACAGAATCCAGACTCTGGACAATCTCCCCTCTCAGCAAGGAAATTGCTACCTCTGTAGGCACCAGCACGGTTGGCCTGCAGCCCTAGGCTTTTCCAATGTTACATGTCCCATCAGCATCAACAGGATTGTAGCAATGGGGTAAGCAGGGGACTGTTTTCCCATCCTGTGAGATATTGAGAATTTTTTTCTATCCCAAATTGAAACAGGACATTTATTTACATTTTTTTTAAAAAAAATATTCACAAGCCCAGAGTTGGGGCAGAAAAAACATGTTTTTGGTCAATGATTTTAACAATTCAGAAAGATGTTGTTACAAAGTTGTACTATCATTCACTTACATTCCGCAATTGCAAGTCATTTCAAACTGGGAAATGCAGGAGGTCTCTAAGCGTTTTGGGATTTTGAAAAACTTTGTCAAGAATTTTTGTTTTGAGGTAAGAATCCCGGGCCGGGCCGTGTTCATCTGCGTCTAGAACATTCCCTGGGCTGGGTCAGAAGCAGGGTTCCAAAGTGACTGCATTAAAGGCAAGGAGAGACGTGCTGTTCAGCCGAGTTCACTCGGCCAGCTATGGGTAATAGAAAGCAGCTAAAGAAACTGATACCTTAGATCAAGTCAGCAGATGCTCTGTTGGCAGAGGGAGGACACAAGAGGTCAGGAACTCTAACCACAACTGACTTTTCCCCTTTAAGTAGTCTATTACTAGGCACAGCAGCATTCCAGTTTATTTCAGGCGGCATGTGGCGATCTCAATACACCACCATAAGTACCTGCATTACCTACTCTATCTTATCATTTTAAGTGAAATGGGAAACAGGGGCTGTGCACATCAGGTGCAGGATAAGAGACATGATTCTGGAGCAGTTTTCAACAAAAGGAAGGTTGCTTTAATTTGATCTCTGCTTACTTGAAACAACTTTGTAAAATAGGAAACTATGTTTTTTGGCTTTACAGCAATTAGCAACATTTCACAGTTAATAAGGCCTACAATCCTGCTAAATTCCTGCCAACATACTTCTAAGCAAACAGATCACCTAAAAGCATTATACGAGTCTTCTCTTACCTTTTGTTATGCAGGTAAAATAGTCATTGTCACCTTCACCAATCTGCTCCCCTGCAGCTTTCCGCTTGTCAGGATGATGCTTCAAAACCATGGCTTTATCTAGCAAGCAAAGTGCAGAAACATTATCCCTACCACCAGCACTTGATCATTTAAAAAAAAACAAAACAAAGGAGTGCAGGAATTCTTGTCTGCATTTTTTAAATGAGATTTTTTTTGGAAGGAAACAGAAAATGAGCAAATGAATTGTTGGGAATGTGATAATATTAGTGAAAATTAGAATCCCTTGTAAGCTAAAACTTTGTTGTGTACCTTATTCTGGGATCCAAATAATCGTAACTATAGACCAGTGATTCTCAACCAGAGTGCCAAAGCACCCTGGAGAGCCAACAGATCCTTTGAAGGGTGCCATAAGGTGTGAGGAGATAAGCAGATAAATGCAAGCTCAGACTTGTCCCTGTCTAAACAATCTCTTACCCCCACTGTCTTTCCCCCTCTGCAAAGAAGTGAGCACTGTAACCTAGAGTCACAGAATCATAGAAAATGAGGGTTGGAAGGGATCTCAGGAGGTCATCTAGTCCACCCCTCTGCTCAAAGCAGGACCGTCCCCAACTAGATCTTTCCAGTCAGGGCTTTTTCTACCAGACCTTAAAAAACTCTAAGGATGGACATTCCACAACCTCTCTGGATAACCTGTTCCAATGTTTCACTATTCTCCCCTAGTGAGAAAGTTTTTACTAATATCTAACCTAAACTTTCCTTGCTGCAACTTGAAACTACTGGTCCTTGTTCTGTTACCTGCCACTGCTGAGAATAGTCTAGCTCCATCCTCTTGGGAACCACCCTTCAGGAGTTGAAGGCTGTTATTAAATCCCCCCCAAGTCTTTTCTCCAGGCTAAATAAGCCCAGCACCCTCTGCCTCTCCTCATAAGTCCCAGCCCCAGCTCCAGCCCCCTAACTATTTTTGTTGCCTTCACTACAATTTGTCTACATCGTGCGTGTGGGTGGGTGGGT